GCTTCCCTCCAGTGTTCCTTTTCAGATCCTGATAATGCTTCCTCAATTGTCTGTGGTTCTCCATCATGAGTTGTTGCTGTCATTGCTATTACAGCATTCACACTTCACTTCATAATAACTAGAATCCTGATCTTGAGTCATGTCTGGATTGCATGTGACATCATTGGGGTCATCCACAGAGCTGGAGTCAGAAACAGTTGAATTAGTTGTGATCGAGTCTGATGACTCTGTAGTAGGCGAGGGATCGACATTGTTATCATCATTAGTTCTCACAACATTTTCTATTCCATCATTAAAATTTATTTGACAATCAGTAGTAGTGTTATTCTGATTCATTTTTAAGTCATTATACATCATTCCTTCCAAGAAGCACACATCTCTAGATTTAATGCATTTGGAGAGATTTTGAGGATCAATTAGTCTGACTCATTACAATATCCTACAAAAATGTATTGTTTACTCTTTGCATCTAGTTTCTTACGCCTCTCATCAGGGATCATTGCATAAGCAACACAGCCAACTATTCTCAGAATTGATAAATCAACTTTACAATCAGACCATTTTTCTTCTGGTATGGTTCCTCTTACCGCTTTTACTTGGTGATTTAGTCTTGATAAATATTGCTTTATTCAAAGCCTCAGCCCAGAATCTGTGGTCCATACCCGCATCTTGTAGCATACATCGTCTGGCCTCCATAATTGTGCGATTTGCCCTTTCCGCAACTCCGTTCTGTTGTGGAGAGTAGGGTACAGTCGTCAGGTGTACGATGCCATGCTCTTGAAGGAATGTCTGGAAATGTTTATTCACATATTCATGGCCATTGTCTGTTCTTATCATCTTTATTTTCAAATTAGTTTGATTTTCTACAAAATTTTTAAAGATCTTGAATACAGACAGAACTTCGTCTTTACTTTTAATAAAATAACCAAATGTCATCCTTGTATAATCATCTATAAATGTTAATAGATACTTGGCACCACTAAATGAGGAAACTGACATAGGCTCACATAAATCAGAATGTATGAGACCTAATTTCTCAGTGGCTCGACTATAGGATTGTTTTGGGAATGGTATTCTGCTCTGCTTCCCTTCAATACATGCCGCACAAGGAGGTTTTTTTACTGTAAGTGTAATTAATTCCACTTGCCATACCTTGTTTCAGTAAATCCATACTTCGCTTGTTCAGGTGTCTGAGTCTCCGATGCCAAATCTCCTGTGATTGATTCGCTTCACACAAATTCACAGCTTCTGCGCGTTTCCCATCCATGGACTGGATCTGTGGCTCGATCAAAGCCACTGTTTAACATATCGCAGCCAGCTCATGACCATTTGTTGATTGTTGACTCACTGTGTCCAGTTCATAGACACCATTCACCTTTGTAGCACTTAGGTACAACTGGCATTTTTCCGCAATAAACATTACACTTTTCAATGTCAAAGTGAACTTCAAGTCCCTTCGAAGCTATTTTGCCTACGGAAATAAGGTTTGTTGACAGTCCTGGTACAAAAATAACCTCATTTAATTTTGTAACTTGAGATTGTCCTTTCAACAATAATTTCACTTCACCATGACCTTCACTATGCATTTTCTGATTATTAGCAACTGTAACTAACCGCGGAGTGTCCACAGCATAGAAACATAAACAGAAACAGAAACTTTTTTATTCAATGTAGATTATAAGCAATACTTATTGAAAGTCAATTTTTTCATTTATCACTGGTTCGCAAAAAAAAACCTCTGTCCTGGGAAGAACCAGCAAGAAACCCAGCGGGACTATTTTTTTTTTTTTTCAAATAATAGCTTACAATCATGTTTACAATTAACAACACAACACAAATTAGAAATAGCTTGGTAGCGATCACCCTTCCTAGGGGTTACTATCATCCATAAATTCCTTAATATTATAATAACCCTTTTTATACAAACTTAGTTTAATAAAAATTTTGAACTTTGTGTATGTCAAATTTTGTATATTTTCTGGGATTTTGTTGTAAAAGCGTATACATCGCCCCAAGAATGAATTACTGACTCGGTGGAGTCGAGTAACTGGTACTACTAGCTTGTGTCTGTTCCTAGTATTTACAGAATGAATATCACTTATTTTTGCAAAACTACGTTTATTCTTGTATACGTACATTACATTTTCATAAATATATTGAGAGGCCAGAGTTAATATATTAATTTCCTTAAATTTTTGTCTCAGTGACTCTTTTGGTTTTAAATTATATATTGCTCTAATGGCTCTCTTCTGTAAAATAAATATAATTTCAGTGTCAGTCGCGTGTCCCCATAGCAAAATACCCATACGACATAACGCTATGGAAATAACTAAAGTAAACTATTCTTGATGTTTCAACACTGGTAAGAGTTCTAATCTTTTTTACAGCATATGCTGCAGAACGAAGTCTGCTAGCTAGTTTTGATATATGGGGGAGCCATTGAAGCTTTGCGTCTGTGTGATTCCAAGAAAATTGGTGGTATCAACAAGACTCAGTTCTTCCCCATTTAATATTACATTCGTATTAACATGTTTGACATTAGGAGTTACGAATTTCATACATTTAGTTTTAGTTCCATTTAAATGCAAATTATTAACATTAAACCAATTGACTACCTTAGCTATAGCATTATTTACTTCGTCATTCATAATTTTTTAATAGATTTTTGTTGTTTGTCATGTGACAAGTAGCGCCGGAGTCGACATACCAAGCATTCGAGTCAATGTTCAGAACTAGTGCTGTTAATAATGTTCCGTTCTACGCTTTCTCACATTTTTCACTTTCACCCCGTTTATTAATGTTTTCATTGTTCGTTTTAGTTGAACAGTTTTTATCAAAGTGATTTGGTTTCTTGCAAATGTAGCACTTTGTATGTTTGTTGACCCTTTGTGTGGAAGACTTGTTTGTAAACATCGCACCTTCACTCTTGTCGAAGTCTCTACGTAAATTTTCTTGTAATAATTTACTTTTCACTGTTTCACTGCACAATTTAATGTTCGAATTTTCTAAAACTATGATAAGCGGATCATAGTCTGAGGGTAAACCGCTTAGCATTAACACTGATATTGAGGGTAAACCGCTCAGCATTAACACTGAGTATTTACGTCTCGTAATTGTCGATTCAAGTCCGTGATTCTCAAGATATATACTTCCATGTCACTAAATTGTTCCAATTTTAATCCAAATAACGTGCGTAAGAGTCCAAGACGACGACACAGCCCCCTGTCTTCATAGGCTGTCTTTAGGTTGTTCCATGCCTCGTAACCAGTGGCAGAATTTCTAACGTGGGAAAAAGACGAGGGTTGAACCATCAAACATATCTTTGCGAGTGCCCGTAGCTGTTTGCGGTTGTCATTGACCTTGGGAACACCCGGTGCAGATTCTTCGATGCAATCCCATAAATCTTCATGGAATAAATACATCCGCATCATAAACTTCCAGTTTCCGTAGTTAGATATTCCACTAAGCTTTTCGAAATTGACTGAAATTCCGGAACTTTTGCCGTTGAAGATAATGGCGCCGGCACTGGCACGTCGTCCCCACGCGACATCGCGTCTTTCTTGAATGTTACGATTTTTTAGAAAATAAATATTTACGCACACTTATTTATCGCGTAATCTGGGCCCATAACCTGATGGGATTGGGCGAAAATAACAATGGATTAAATTGGTAAACTGAGATTTATTTATAATCATGAATTTAGTTCTTCTCACACGTTCTCCGATAATAGAACTACATTTATGAAATTTTGAAACTCTCTCTCTCTACTCGAATGTAAAAAATACTGGTATGTGGTGGTAATCAATATTCAATGGGACTAATATAATAAATAAAGATCGTGAAATAAAACATTATTTTATCAAAACTGTATCAACTTTAATAATGATTATTATGCAAATAACGCATTTCCGATTCCAGGTCAATTTTCCCTCCATAATTACACATCGGAAGACGTGCCCTATTAAAAAAAAAGGTGTAGCTTGACGTATGATATTTATGTGATTCTGATAAACTAACTTATGTGTTTCTGTAGCCTATAATATTGCCAATATAGACACAAATACCGACGTCTCTCTACAAGTGATCCAGTTTTGCTAATTTTAGTACGAAATAGTAATATCGATGTTTTTAAATTCAAGCCCACGCGAGCGAAGCCGCGCGTAAAAAGCTAGTTCATCAATAAATATTTTTATTTTTAAAATATGTATGGTCTCCAATTGAAGTTTTCACAAACTTTTTTAGTACCTTCATTTTTATTTTATTTAAAAAATCGTTTACATTAAGAATTTTTCCTGTATAACCTATGCGATTTACATATATAAATCACATAAACAAACATCATACAAATTCAAAGAATTGAAGCCGCGGTCCGCCAACTCCGCAACCAATTATATAATCTAAGACATCATCATAATAGGATGTGACCATAGAATATTGCAGATATATGTATGTATTTTATGCAGATATATGTATGCGTTGTAGTATTCTATGGATGTGACTTAGACTATTCAAGATTATCTTGGTTGCTTTAAATATTTAGAGTCAAAGAATTATTTAATTTGAAAGTAATCAAATAATAAATAAAAAACAATAATATTTTTTTCTTACGGTACTTTTTATTAGTTAAAATTTTGTGTGGATAGTAAATTTAATTTAGTTAATGTACGACGTACATATATCAATATATTTAAGTAACGTAAATGATTCGACTTCTAAGCAGTACTCTTAGAGCATACAGCGCAAAAACTGCTCATAACCGAACAAATTAACTATCATAAATTAAAACTGAGATATTAAACTACATCAAAGAAATAATTACGCTTATATAAAGACGCCTATAGAAGTATAAAACAGTGGGGATGCAGCAACTAAAGGGATTCGTCGTTGTTCTTGCTGTTGTACCGTACAGAGTTTTGCTTTTTCGCCGTGAATGCAATTACAAGTAATTAGTAAATAATACACTTATTATAGTCATAATTCTATACCGTTTTAATTCAAAAATGTCACGTAATATGTTTTTTAAAATTACAAGAAATATAAACAGCTGGTAAGTCGGAAATTTGAGCTTTTTTGTTTGTGTTTTTTTGATTATTCCTAGTGAAACTTACCGTGATGAAATACAATACCATGAAGACAGTTAAGAGGAAAGTTAGAGTTATGTTGATCGTTCTTATGCCACTGAATATAATAGTCAAAAATATTGTACCAGTTAGAAAAAACAAACAAATAAATAGTTTAAATATAATCGTTTTCGTAAGGAAATCTGAATGTCTAAAGATTAATTTCGAGAACGTATTCAAATAAAGTTCGTCAATAGGGAAGGTCAAGATGAGGATGAAAGCTTTTCTAGCAGCAAGACAATGAATAAGTTAAATAATAATAATTGAACACAAACAGACTATCGGAAGTAAATTGTTGTCAAATATTTTTAAACTTTTTAGGCGGAACGTTGATTTTAAGTCAGCTCCAAAAAAACTAGGAGGTTAACAATTTAAATGTATGTTTTTTGTATGTAGGTCATGAGATATCTTCGTCATTTTGTGTTAATGATTCGATTTTTAGAGAATGTAGTCCCACCCTTTTCAGTGAAACAATAGAAGATGAAATTTTTTATGTAACCGTTTAGACGAGATTGAGAATGTGATATTTCTTCATCATAATACATAAAAAACTTTACGATTCCACTGCTCTCTCTCCCAAAGGATGTCTATTACCAGACATTGACGGATATCCTTTAATACACTCAATAAGATAAATAATTAACTTTTATTAAATTATAAAATCTAACGTGACTAATAATATATGATACATGTAATATTTAGAATTAAAAATATTCTACTTAAAACTTCAAAAATAATCAAATAAAATTAAAGTTACTAGTAATTACATTTATATTAAGATAAAGACGCTCCACGCAGACAAAAATGTGAATATGATTAGTAAAATTTGGAGTTTTGGACTTAACAACGAAAGTCGTGCAATATATTCGAAACCTAGATGTAATATAATCAACAATATAGTCTATATTGCAAAATTGAATTACATAAGAAGAATTCGAGGATTTTTCCCTCCACTTTAGAGAAATTTGTGAAATTTACAATGCTTAGTTTTTTTTTAGTTGTACACTAAATACTGACATATTTTGTTAAGAAGACAGTTTAGAATTTCTTATAAATATTATTGAATAGTTTACACTTTTACACGATAAATATAAAGTTTGCGTGCTTTATATGATTGAAATCTCTTCATTGAGAAATAATTATATTAATTCTTTATTAAAACTCAAAATTAGTTGTAAAAAAGTTAGTAGTTATAAAAAAAGAAATTTGAAGGATTTTTCTTCTTGTATTTGTATTAAACTACGTAGCATATGAATGACCTTTAAATTTTTTTATGTTCTTTTTTTGTATGTTTATTCTCACTTCACTCACTCGATATCTTCTTCAATTGAAGATCGATTTAAATGATTATCATTTGAATAAATAGGCTATAATACTTCCGGTATGATCCCGTATACATTTTGAAATAATATATGAAATGAAATGTTTAATATAATTTAGACGACATTCGAGCTTATTATACTTCTGAGTCCAATCAAAAGGATCAAAAAATTAGACTCTAAATTAAAATAGGAGTACTAAGAGATAGTTTATTGAAGTATTATAAAAGAGAACATAATTATTTATTGCTGCAAATTGCATATACAAGACATAATTTTACAAACAAAACAAATATTTAACAAAATGTCACTATAATTAAATAGATACAAATTATGTTACATTATACGTCGTAGAGCCATGCTGCAGTTATGTTAGTAGTATAGTATAGTAGCCTCGTTGGTCTAGTGGTTGTATTAGTGCAACTGCTGATCATGAGGTCCTGGGTTAAAATCCCAGGTCGGGCCAAAAAATCAACAATTGAGTTTTCCCGTCAAGAAATTCTCAGTAGCTGCTCGGAGTTGGGAAGTTGGCGGTGTCTCACACCCGTGCCTCGGAAAGCACGTAAAGCCGTTGGTCCTGCGCCTGATCTGTCTCCGGTCGTGTTGGTTTACCGACCCATCGGATTATGCATAGAATACTATAACACATACTTATTAGAACGGAGGAGTCGGCGGAGCCCGCGTAGCCACTAAAATATTACTAAGACGTCAATTCACACGTATAAATGTCAACACGAGATGTGTTTTGACGTTACAATCGTTTCCAATTTCGCATCCAAATTATTTAAAAAATGCCAAATTGCACCCTATTTACAAATAAATGTGTATTATAATTTAAACGATTTTTTTAAATAATGATCTTGAACATTAATCAAAAGTCTAAAATAAACTCTAAAGTAAATTTACTCAGTCTGTCAACACAGCGAATCGGGTTTGGCGACGCCAAACCTCGTACAAAATAAAGTTGACAGCCATTCTATTGTGTATTATAGTATTCTATGGGATTATGAGAGTGAGATGGGATTATGACTTGGGCACTATAATCCTGTCCTGCGTCAATGGCTAGTCTCCGTTGAGGCAGGCCGCCGTGACCGAAGTTCGGTCTGGAGGACATTATAGTTGTAGCACGAATTGGTCGGCTCGACCGGAGAGGACCACGTTTTCACAGAATACCGGCGTAATATAGTAGCTTAATGCTGCTGTGTTTCGTATGGTGAGTGTAGAAAACCGGAGACCCTTTTACTGGAAACGAGGCATTCCATCTTAGTCCTCACTGGTGACAACGTATCTGCATTTTGATATTTAATCGAGAATAGATGTATGGGCCGCAGCAACCACTTATCATCAGGTGGACTGTGTGCTAGTTTGTCACCCTATCCTATAAAAATGATAGGATTTATATCATAAGTCATAATTTAATATTATCATAAGTCATAAGTTAATATTTCAGGTCTCCTGTTCAACGAGCGCTTTTGACTAAACAAAATATGGTGTCAAAAGATGTTTATACTGCATATCAAGATTATTTACCAAAACTTGTAGACAATGTATTATCTCATAAAAGATTTCAGGAACTTCCTGAAATAATAGCCCGAATAAAGAGGGTAATATTGCCTTTTAAATGCTTTTAGAATTAACAGGATGAAATAAAATTCAGATAATAAATCATCAATAATAATCATTCTTTAGTTTTCAGAATACAACATAATAGACGGTAAACAACTCCGAGGTCTATTAACATTATTCACATACGAAACACTCAATAAGCCTGACCCAATTAGTGATAAATTATGGGAGGACGTCTTTAAACTAGCCTGGGCTATAGAAATGGTATGACGTTTCGTTTATCAAAATTACTTGTTTGCAATCAGACGATAACGTGTATAGATAATATTTAAATTGAAACACAGAACATTGTAATTATACCTAATATTTTTAACACTCCTGAGTACTGAAAGTATGTGGTTGCATGCTGAAATGGTCTTAATCTCATTATAAGTTTCAGTCGGGCCGTCGTTGTTAAAGATGGAGTACATAATTATTATTTCTGTAAATAAATAATCTTATAATTATTTATCCCTCTTCTTGTTTATTATTTTAGCTACAAGCAGTTTATATAGTTTCTGATGATGTGGAAGACGACGCTGTGACTAGACGTGGAAAGAAATGTTGGCATTTATTATGTGACGTTGGTTTATTAGTTATAAACGACACCAGTTTGTTTCGAAGCTTTATTCACGAAATATTACGGCAAAATTTCGCTAACGAACCTCACTATTCACAAATTATAAACTTATTTAACGAGGTATTTTAATGATTTTTAAATCTATTTTTGATATAACGTAATCAGTTACTATACAATAAATTTGCCATAAATTTTACAGATATTTTTGATTACATCCATGGGTCAGCACTTGGACAGTATGTTAAACTATTTAAAAAAGCCCGATGGTTTTAATGAAGAAAATTATAGAAAAATGTCCATTTATAAAACATCTCATTATACTTTCCGATTTCCGATATTACTAGCACTGATACATTCTCAAAAAGGGACAAAGGACTCGTATCAATACATCGATAATATTTGCGATGAAATTGGTATCAACTTACAAATGCAGGTAAGGATTAATGTGACTGTAATTAAAACTTGATATAATTAAGTGTTACAAAAGAAGTGAAAACGCAGTTAATTTCGCTAAGCATTTAATACTGATCGATAAGAAGGAGAAAAAAATTTCTTCGTTTTATTAATAAAAATACATTTAGTTATGTATTTATATTAAATTCATAATTTATTAAAATAATAACGACTTAATTTCAAAACGGTATTGCATAGTTTGTTTTAAAGGTATTATATTTAGATTACAGATAGATTATATTGTTACATCGGGAAATCATAATTAATTAGGTATGTCAAAAACCAAAAAGTCTACCAGTGTGCTTAACGTGGCGATGTTCTAAGATTGATAATTTTTGTTGAGTATCAGGCTTCTGACTATGAACTTATGGTTATGAATAACTTTTATAATATCGTAAAAAAGGTGTAACCAATGCATGCTGATAGTGATAACCTATAAAACGGCAAGCAAGTGAGAAATATCAAAGTTATTGGGTTAATTAATGAATTACAGGCTGCGAAGCATCTCACCACCACCACCACCACCACCACCCACAACCTTGACGATTCATTTCCGCCGTCTGTAAGAGTAATTAACATTTGTCAAATACGATGGTGTAGGTATATTATCATTATTTATCGAGTTACATGTTCTTTCTAGAATTTTCCATAGTCTCTTATAACGACAATCACGGGAAAATTATACGATGGAAGCTTTTAACTTATTCTTAACTTCCTATTTCGTAACATGATAAGATAACTATTTGATGTAAATCCAAAGTCCATGTATGGGGTTTCTAATACCTCATCTCATTTTATAAACTAGATAATAAATAACCTAATTACGTTTCTGTTTTAGAACGACTTCATGGATTGCTTCGTCGATGAAAATTCGATGGGTAAAACGGGTTCCGATATTCAAAATGGAAAACTGACCTGGTTAGCAGTTGAGGCACTGAAACGATGTAACTCTGCTCAACGAAAGGAATTTGAATCTTGCTATGGTAATCAAGATCCAGTTTATGTGGAGCGAGTACGAAACTTATATAAAGAGCTTAATTTACCGCAAGTTTACCGTCAATTAGAAAAAATCCGGTATGAGAAGATTTTGAAACAAATTAATGATTTACCACAAGGCACTGTGCCGAGTCCTGAGATCTTCCTTAAAGCTCTTGATTTGGTATATAATAAAACTCAAATAATAAACTGTTCATAAATTTGGTATATACAATAATTTTAAATATTTCATTTCATATATCAATGTAACAAATCCAATTTTCGTTAGTTGAATAATTTTTTGTACTTAATAAATTTTAGATAATAAGAAAATATTTTGTTATAATGTTGATGATAATTATTTTATTATATCCTGGTACGTATATATATATATATATATATATATATATATATATATATATATATATATATATATATATATATAATTCAAAAATACCCATATTGCAAAAACCCAAATACGCAACATGCGTTAACAAAAGTATATAAAGGATATCCGGGCTGCAAGAAATTTTAAGTTATTTTTTGCAATTCCTTAGGGAATGTAGTACACAGCTATACCTGCCTATTATGGTTTTACGATTCCTATATATAGTACTTTAGGTCAGGAATTTCAGGCCGCCAGCTCTGTGTCCTAGTTATAGTGAAAAGAAAACGATACATACGCAAATAAATAATTTAACTTAAATCAAGTAACGAGATATTTCAACGACCGCTAGTTCTCGTCTCATTTAAATATTATACGAGTACTGTATTACAGTTAACGCATGGTTTGTGTTCACTTTTGAATTATCCATGGGTTGTCAGCTACGTTCACCTGCAGAGACGGCTCTAGTCTTTGTAGCGCCCGTATGCAACCAATACTCTGGCGCCCTCTAGCAGGCGCACGGTCAAAATGGAATACTTATTACTTACGGTTGCATTATCAAACGGAACTTCGGGTGCAAATGGTGCAATCTTAAATGATGTCGGGAAGAAGTTGTTATACGAATAAAAAGTATATTTTAGGAAGGAAGGGCTTACAAGATTAAAAAAATTACAACTTTGTAGTTATTTCAAAAATGTTTAATTTTAAAACTAGTTATATTACAGGGCGCTCGTACCATAACACAAATATTTTACAAAAAGTATATTTTCGTACTTTTGTATTAGAAGATTTCATGTTCAATTCTTATTTACGATTAATTTTCCAATCTACTTTACGACAATGTTGATCTAATATAGCTTTTAATTATTTTTAGTTTTGAAAATGGTCTTTCGCTGTGTGCTACAGTGACTGGCAATGTGAGGTAAATTCTCATTGCTGTGGACAGATTTGGTAACAGTGAAATAAATAAATAACGAATAAATTAATTCGTAAATAAGATATTTAAAATATCCAAAGGCGTAGTGGAATCATCAATAAATATCGGTAATTATTTGATTTCATCAAAGGCTCGAACTTCTCCACATATGAATGGCCGGCATGGCACAATTTATTTTCTAAATTAAAACAATGTGTTTTTTGTGTCTAAGAAAAACTCCTTTCAGTGTTTCAATTTTCGGAGAAATTAAATAATTATATTATTTTGATTCAAAAGTTCGAACCGTTTGTCGAACTTATTAATTGCAGTATCAAATAAATAGTAGTAAATAAAGTAGTAAAAAGTCGGTTCATCCTCCTCCTTACGAATGCGGAAAAGTGTGGAAAATTTTGCTATTGCCTCGATTTCTTCCGCTACAGTTTTTGCGCTAGTAAGTAACTCCCCAAAGGCAGACTCATTACAGAATTTATTTTATTTATCTTACTTAAAATTTCGAACCAAGTAAGCAAAGAGCAGATGAATTTAAACCACCTAATTTTTGCGAGTAATTAATTTGCCATATTTGCATTTTCGCTCCACATTCATTAGCATAGGAAGCACATTATTTAAAGTAGAGGTACATTTAACCAACTTTAAAAAATTACCATAATCAGAATCGTAATTTTTTTCAGACTTACCCCGAAAAGGCAGATATTGTCTCGCTAAAAATTAATTATTTTGATAATTTGTACGAGTACTGCCACTGAACGTCTTTTTCCCGTTCAATTTAAGCTTGGTGATAAAAATCCACCGAATTTTCTTTTTAAATAACAGTGGATGCGCGAAGGACGAAAGGTATTTGCGTGGTGAACGATTAGGTGGACTGTATTAGTGTGGTTTGTTATGAACCAAAACAAAATGGCGGACGTGGCACGTGGCGGTCTTTTGATAAATATTCTTGCTATAAATTTAATTTAATACGTTAGCCGGCACGCTGGAAACGTGATCTGCTGTGGAAAAGGAACAACAAAATAAAAAAACAGCTCAAAATTAAGGAACGGGTACTTACCCGGAGAAGCTGCGAGCGGCCTCTCTGTAAGAACTGGCGAGAGCGGCGAAAACTGTGTTGCGATTGGGGCCCAACCAATTGCACTGCGGTTGACTTGCGACCACGACGAAAGTTTGTATTGCACTGCGACAAAAATTGCACTGAGCGCAACCGCGTAAATCTTTTTGCCGCTTCTATAATCTCCACTTCCATCTCAGCGGAGCACATCTCTCATCGGAGAAACAAAATAAGTCCACCAATGTCTACCCCCCCCCCCCATTAGGCAGGGCCATGTGGAAAAGACATACGTGCTAGTTTTTCTCTTGATATCTTTCGGAACAAAGTAAAGAAATATTATCCATCAACTTTTTTATAAATGCACGTACATTTTATGTACTTATTTATATGTATATTTGTGTGTATGTATGTAAAAGTGTATATATATATATATATATATATATATATATATATATATATATATATTATATATATATATATATTTCTATCTTTATTTATATGTGTATGATTAATAGAAATAGAAAAGAAAATATACCTATATTTTATACACATATATATTTATTGTAAACTATAATTTATACCCAATTTTTATTAATTTGTATTTAGTTAGTTATTAAGTACGCACGCTGCTACCTACTTGCTTAACATATAAAACTTTTCTCTTTCCCAAAGGGTTTGCTGGAAGAGAACTTTTATTATGGTTAAGCTCGCCATTGTACATTTTATTTAAAATATTCAAAATTTGTTACCAACTTATAGTATGTACAATATATATAATATTTAAGTATACATTTTAATTTATACATATGTAGTTATTTATTTGTTACACAAATTGCTAATTACATATGTTTTATTTTAACTATATATTTAATATTTGATGTAAAAATGAAACTAAATTTATATTTACAGTCCCAATCAATATTGCAGCCCAAACCCCACCCTCCCCTAGAGATCATCCTATGGGCGATAATATTCCGAGGCGAGTATTACTCGCCCAGAAAGTGTTTGACATTTGAATCTCTTTCTGGTAATGGAACTTCCAGCGGAGCGGGATTACTATCAGCGAGTAGATAAGTTATATCATCAAGGATCTCCTAGGTGTGCGTTGTTTGCAGTTAGCAGTGGCTGTAAATGACCGCCGGTACGACATACTCCGCCGAACGTTGAGTCCCGTGATTCCGTGAGGCGTCGAGGTCACCGGCCCCTGGGTGATTCTTGGGCACTTTATGCGCTCCGAGCATCTTGTGCCTAGTCGCGTCATAAAGTGCCACCGTTGCACTTCCCCCAACCCTTTTGGTGTACAAAAGGGGTAGGCAGTGCCCAGAGTGTTGATAGCCATAAACTTTTATCACCATAGTTTAGATAGGGCCTTTTAGAGTTCGACTGACGTTGTTAGGGTAGTAACATGTCAGGTAGGGATAAGGGGGAGCCACCTCCTTCAATAAGAAAACCACCAGACAAAAGAAAAGGTGTGTTGGATCGACCACTGGTTGTGAGGGATCTGTCGAACCCGGAACGCACGAGGGTCGTGTCCTCCTTTTCACAGATCCCCCAACGTAAACCCGTCTCGCCACGGAAAGAGCCCGCACCGGGCGTCGCGCTCACGCCGGCCGTATCTGAGCATACGGTCAGGCAAGAACCATCGCCCCAACAACAGCGGGCAGTGAAAACGGCTAGACGCCACACGCCACCGGAGACTGAAGCCTCCTTATTTGAAAAGAGGCAAAGGATAGGCTCCCAACTGTCCTCCGATGAAGCACCGTCCACATCGGAGGAGGATGACGATTTCCACCATCGGGTGACGCCGAAGAAGGTGTTAAGATCTCCACCCAAATCACCATCTCCACCGCAACTCCCCCCCCCGCTCCATATCTCCGGATCGACGAAGCCGAGACTCGGCCCAGTATGAGCAGGCTTCCACAGGACGATGGCCAACGGCCATCTACCAGTTATGCCCATATGGTAGCTGCACCAGCAGTACCGCGACCACCTCCGGCGGCAGTGCCAACCGAGAAGCCTGCCGACCAAGATAAGACCCGCTACCCGCCCATAGTGGCTGAATGCCTACCGGATTGGACGAGGCATTTTAAGGAGCTCAACAGAATGTTGGGCCACCCCTTAAATGGCCGTCCATTCGGGAAAGGCGTGAGGTTCACTCCGCAAAGCGCGAATGAGTTCAGGACAGTCCAAAGCTACATGATTGAGCTGACTAAGGAAGTACCAACATTGTCTTGGTATTGCTATACCCCGGAGAAGGACAAGCCCACTAAAGTGGGCATCCGGGGTCTACCAATGGGCACGGACACCAAGGACATAGAGGAGGCTATTAGGGCAAAAGGCTTCCCCGTCAAATATGTTAAAGCAATCCCACCGCGTAGAAGCAGACCTGGCTGCATCTACTTTGCCCAGTTCGACCACCTGAGCCTGGAGCAGCTACAAGAATTATATAAAATCGACGAACTCCTCTTTATGAGAGGAGTAGTCATCGAGGCCTGGCAAAGGAAAGCAGGACCGGCTCAATGCCACCGCTGCCAGGCCTTCGGACATGCATCCGCAAACTGCTTCAGGCCAGTGAGATGCGTGCGCTGTGCCGGGGAGCACATTGCAAGCCTTTGCCCTCGGGGTAGAGAGGAACAACCTACATGTGCCAACTGTGGTAAAAACCACACGGCAAATGACCGCCGCTGTCCAGTCCTGAGGAGGACTGCTAGGAGGCAGGGGATAACCTTGCCGGGGCTACTCCCGGAAGCCCCTAAAAAGCCCCCCCAGAGTCGCCCGAAAGCTGTAACCATTCAGCAAGACGGGTGGGCCACCATCACTGGGAAGGGCAGGCAAAACCCGTTACACCGAAAG